GCGTTTTTCTTGTTGAGATTGTCTCATGAGTCGTTTTACCAACATTTCCTCACGACGTTGTTCCTACGGGATACATCATGATTAGTACACTCGAATTAAGCTGTTTACATGTGTAACATGTGTTTATACATGTACAATGTTGCCCGACTTATAAACGGTTCTCCAAAGCTCAAATGATATATGTTTCATGCATTACAAAATACCTCTTGGGATTCGTGAGCTTTCAGTTGTTCAATCAAAACTCTCCGTCTTCGTTTTTCCCGCTCCTTTACATAAACAATTGAACAAAAAAATGACACCTCACACAACAACGTTGGCCTGGTCTACAAACAAAATGATATTTACCTTCCTCGCAACAGCATCTTCGTTCAATCTTTTCTTTATCTTTGACACATAATCATCTCCAGCTGTTTTCTATGGAAGAATACGTCAGTTCGACTAGCTCTGGCTGTATATTGATCTTTAAAAACTTATTTATGGAAAAATGATAAACAAACATGAGAATTAATCCTCGTACCAATGATATGGGCTCAAGAGGCTTTCGAGTTGTTCTAAACTCCAGATCTTGCCTTCCTTCCATTTCACTAAAAATAAAAAGGGTGTATTTCTATAAAGGTAACCTTTGACAAAACCTGACAAATAATGAGATATCCAACCTGTCAAACTGCACAGAACCTTGTTGGGGTAGATTTGTCCTCATACTTTCCTCAAATGAACTGATGTGATCTTTTACTTCCTACATGAAATGAACATTACGGTCACACAATTAACACTTACAGGGATCGTATTTCCTTAGCTTTTTACAGTACTTTACCTGTATCTCTCTTTCTTTTCTACTTTCTTGTTTGGTCTTTGCTGATTTCTGTTGAAATAAATGAACCAACGAATATACAACTGTTCAAATCTCGATGAAAAATGTTTGGCAAAATTAGTTTATGGTCTCTCAACAGTAACGGCGGTAGCGGTACTGAAATGCAAACCTCTCCATTAACTCACCTTTGATTCAGGAGGCTTGGGAATCCGAACTTGAGCGTCTCTGAAATGATTTGAAATGTCACGACGTTAATTTCACACACGTATTACTGCCAGCAGCGTGAACGATGAAATAAGCAAAGTTTATATTAATAAATACATACAGCTCACAAATAACGAGATGAATCCATACTATCCTTTACATTGACCAAAAAAATTTGAACTCACCTTATTTTCTGCATGACCTCATTTTGTTTATCTCGTATTGTCGAGACTAGAAAGATATTTGCGTCAGTTAGTATTAGGGACCGCCTGCCATGCACGCTAGTTAGTAGTGATCATTCTATCTCTTTATTACCACAGACTTACACTATACACTAATCATAGTAAGTGGAAGATCACCTTTTCTAAACTCCGTTGTCGCAAATCTTGTTGATATTGTCTAACTTTTCTTTCTTCTCATGTCTAAGGCAAGTTTTGCAGTATGATAGTTCATGAATTTATGGACACAACGTGACAACTATATATGTATGGAGACAAAATAGTTCCATACCAGTTGCCATCAGAGTTTTAACAAGGTCTTGCAGGCATTTAGAAGAATAGCATAAAAACATACTTTGCTCTAACAACCATTTCTTCTTGAAGTCTCTGCTTGCTCTGATATCTCTCAACTAAAGTCTCAAATTAACATCAACTTGTCTAGGAACCAGCTGCTTTAATCTCTAAGAAAATGAAACATAGTCACGACAGGTTTCGCAAATGATATAAAGAGTAATTGGCAATAGTGTACCTCTTTATGCATCAAACTTTCAATACTCTCTAACTTGACTGGTGCACTCGGTCGCATTGTTTCCATAGCAACACCAGTTAGATTTTTCTTAGCTTTTCTTCCCAAAGCAATAAACAACTGATACAATAACTTGGTTGCAGCACCATGGTTTTCATTCATTATTGATTTTGCCTAGCCCCAAAGAAATTTAATATTAATTTTTTTACACTATATATGTATATTGTAACTACAACATAGTTGTACCCACAGATTAAAAAGCCTGTGTTGATTGAATATTGAAAATACTTACCACATTTGTATCATAAGGAATCTCTAGTAACTTCATTACAGATTCAATCCTTGTAAAATTATTGAGTTTAGAATCAGCAGTTCTAAAAATTAAACATGTGTAAACATTAGGTAATATTCTGAAATTGTTTCAGTCACTGCATGTAAACAAGATATTAAGCTTTCAGTTTTATTCTGGTATACCATATTCAAAATGCTAGACATGCACTCACCTTCCTCAGAAAAAGACGAGAAATCGTCCTGCAACCCATATTATATAAGATTTCACCGAATAAATATCCACTGCTAAACGTTTTGACACATTTCTTTTTCTGGAAATTGGAAAAATTTTACAGTCAGACATCTCTTAGAAAAATCTCTCTAATATGAGTATCTCTCTAATATGGATATGTCACTCAAATATGAACAACTCTCTAATATGAACAACTATCTAATGCAAACATCTCATTGAAATGAATATTTCTCCATCTCTCTACTCTAAATAAATGTTAATTCATTATTTGTCAACCTTTTTCCGTGTTTGCTTCTGTTTCAAACACAGAAGTTTACAGTTGAAAATGTGTTAATTTGAACCTGCCCTTCAAACAGTTTTAAATGCGAGTCAAACACATTTGCAAGCCGTGCCTCCAGGGGTTTTTTTAGTTAATATTTGAAACGTAAACAAACACGAAAAAAGGTTCACAGTCTACAGTTGCATGCAAATGGACTAGTATTGCAATGAGATTGAATTGCAGTTGTAATTGGATTAAAATGTAACATTTAACGCCTATGGGCATAGCGACTCTTAATTTGTTATTTCTTCCAGTTTCTGCAAATATATTTTACCCTACATTGTGGGTATGTCACACATGCTGCAGGCCGAGGATCGAACAGGTCTACGACCAAAACTGATTTAAGTAAATGACAAGTTTGCAATGTTGGACGAAATCTATTTCAACTATTTGCAGTTCATTGTCGACCTCTTCTTTATATAAAATAGTTTGAATATTGTACTAGTGCGTCAGTTGGGCGAATATTGCGTAGCTAAAAAGGCGTTAGACTTCTTATATATAGGGACATTTACATTTCAGATGCTTTGTTTTCATAGCAACCTACCGATATTTAAACTGAGTTTAACATCGTCATTTAGCCAGCGACATATAATATCCGTCATTGCTTAAAAATGAAAAATTTATCACCAAATTAATAAACTTAGCGATCTTTTATTTTGCACTCTTTAGTCACAGTCATTACTGCTGTGTAATCCGCCATGTTGAATATTGTCATAGCAACGACAACAACCTGAATTTTGAGGACTGGGATGGAGAATAAAAATCCCAAACCGGAAAAGGAAAACGAAAATAGAGAACAAAGAAAGTTTAAAATTCCCTGTAGCTATTTGATACCTTAAATATTAGCATAGTATGATGACATATAAAGATCAAAGGTCGCTATATTGAAATTTAAAAACATAGCTTTTACATGCTATCTAATCAAGCTCTATAAAAAGTCCAAATGCTATTTGGAATCGATAAAATGATAAGGTTCATTTTGATATTTATCATAAACTGTCTCCTCAAGTTGCTGTTCAAATTTGAAACAGTAGAAGCGAAACTGGAAAGGACAGAATTGCTATTATTGAAATCATGTAGGCGCTTCTACCAAGAGAAATTTATTACTGTTGAAGATAACGTGTTAATACGGACCGTTGTATTCAATCCTGGGGTGCCTAATAAACCAGCACTAGTCCTGTTACATGGTCTTAACACCGGTCTGTGTTCATTCCTTTATAACGCGAAAAGATTGAGTAGAAATTGTACTGTTTATGCCATTGATCTTCCGGGATTTGCACGCAGCTCGAAGCCTTCGGTATCAGGAACTGTGGACGAAATTGAACGCAAATATGTAAGATGGTTAGAGCTATGGCGTCAAAATCTGGCCATTGAAAAATGTTTTCTACTTGGTCATGACTTTGGTGGATACATTGCGACCTTGTACACTCTCATGTACCCTTGGAGAGTCTGTCACTTAACACTGTATGAACCATGGGGATTCCCAATACTACCATTTGGTATGACTGATCGCAGTCCAAACAGGAAATCCATTGAACAATCCGAGTTCTTCCCACGGTGGCTCACTAAACTAGATGTTGTTTTTCACTGCGCACAACGTCTCAAATTTATTTACGCAATCGCGTGCTTTTACTGTCGTCAATTAAAATATTTATATCAAATGATTAGACATCCTTGTACGTTTGTACAAAATTTGTTTAAAAAACAAGAAGCATGGTCTCAGTATAAAAAGTTATGTCAAGAAGTTCAAAACTCGTCTGGTAAAAACGCTTATAGCAAGTTGAGTGTGTTAAATATCTGGGCAAGAGATCCTCTGATAAAACGAATCAATTCACTAGATGAGAAGGTGCAGATAACATTCATTTTTGGTTCAAAATCATGGTTTGATCACCGCTCAGCTTATGAAGTGAAGTGTTCAAGATTAAATCAAAATTCAGTCAATGTTAACATTATTGAAGGCCAGTGTAAACGGCCCATACACGAAGAATGCCGCAGAGATTTTGAAAATATAATTTTGCAAACGTTATCGTCGTACGAGGACGAACAAGACGAAGGTTGGATAGAAGATGAATGGATCTCGTATGATTACTCAGACGATGAAACTAATAATGTCATCTAAACTACTATAGTTGAACATTCAGCTGTGAATAAAGCTGCGAACTTACTTCGTTAGGTAACATAACATGTGAATTTAAGAGTGAAGAATTTTTCTTTATGTAATTACTTTTGGTTGTTGCAGATATGTTTGGTTGTACCAATGGTAGTTCACCCACTGATATTTATACTGCCATGAATAAAATTTAATAAAAACCCAGCATATTGTCTTTATTGATGAGCGAAAAAACGATTACGTGTGGGTTGTGCATTTAGCAAAAGTAGATAAACCCTTTCATTTCCCGAACAATTCAACATACAAAATTTTATCAACGAGAGACAACATGTTTGCTCTTTATACGAAAGCAAAGAACTTTACAGTTGATATATAACCTTCTAAATATTCATATGTCCTTTACCAAATGCTTCCCCTTTCACGTCAGCTGCAAAGTAAAGATGTAGAAATGTGAAGGCAAAACAACTCATATGCATGCGATAGCGTATCATCACATCCTTCTTGTGCGAGGTTTTAGATTTATATAAGCAATAGTTGTCAGCTTCGACATAGAAATAGACTGGATTGACATGCACCTTGTTTACATGAGTTTGAGCAATGATCCAAGTTTAAGAAAATGACCTCTAAAAAAGGCAATACTGTACTTACAACCCTCAGGTAAAGTTTGTGATTCTCCGACTTGGCAATCTTTCAATGTACTATTTTCATTAATAAGAACATTATTACATATCACGCTACCAGTTATGTTACAACTAAAAGAAAAAAAAACAATTTCGAATTAGTTTTAGAGTCATGCCGGTTTAGTATAACGCTTTTTCAGTGAGGGGGAAATATTTGTATAATTATTTTTCAATATATCTGCTGACGTAGTATGGCAATTATAATAAACCTTACGGTTGCTTATTCACTTTTACCTAATGACCCCGTTTTTATATTATCACTCATATGACGATATTCACAATAATGACAATAAATTTGACAATGAAAAAATAAAAACAACTCCGATCTATTCGGAGAAAAATCTTGATCCTTCTTGTGTAACTTACCTGTCTTTTATCGTGACATGATTCATTATAACAGAGTTTGTTATTTTTACTTTATCACCAATTGTTACATGTTTGCCAATAATTGATTTTTTAATTGATACTTGACTCTCCGAAATGTTGCAACCCTCACCAACCATGCTGTCAGAACCAACCTGGTGGGTTCATCATTACAACGATGTTATGAAAAGAGAAAATTAGTTAATTTTAAGCCTTTTTGGTTGCTGCCAAAAAGAACAACAGTTTTTTTACGTGGTGAAATAACATCGATAAGAAACTAGATGCGATAATTGGGGAGGGGGTGAATATTCATATATTCGTTCTGCGTTCTACGTAAATGCGTTTACAAAAGAAATCCGTCGGGCAGAAATTCTCCCCTGCGGCCCGGTCCAATCATCGCTCTAGTTTCGGTCGTGACCATCGAGTACCTGAGATTTCTTAACGTTCGCTAATGGATGAACAAGTTCTTTCTTGGCGGATAATGTTGGTAAAAGCTTTGGTATCTATACAACAAAATTAATCTATTCATCAAAAAAGGAAAGATATAGCGATGTTCTATTTGATTTTGAAGTGTACTTACTAATCTATTCGATTCCATATACGTGGGAACTGTGTTGATTCGTAAACAATGACCATCATCCATTATATAACAATGACATCTCATCTTCTCTGTACATATACGATCTGACGTTGATAAACTTTGTGTCCATTCATCCAGTTCATTTCTCTCAATATAATTAAAAATGTCTAAAATAGAACAAACCAGCATCAAGGTCTTACTTGGGATAAGAGTGCCAGACACCAGTGGAGCATTTAAAGTTAGTCAGAATAAATTGCACAGCCTAATTTCCAATTAAAAATACCTTAATAACAATGCTATTGGTTATTTATTTGTAAAGAATATATTGACATAAAAATCTACCAATATGATTGCAAAAGAGAGCTGTGGTAATTCATTCTGACTTGTGCGTCAAACCCTCCAGTTTTCCTCTGCCTCTATCTATGTACATATAAATATGGCCTACACTCAAGCATATTGTTTGATCAAGTAATAAAAATAAAATTTCATACCGTTCTTTGTATCTTCCTCCATTACCTCCTTGGATGAAGCTAAATCTTGTGGTTCAACACGTTTTTTTTTTTTTCTATATTGTTTCTTTATTAAATATGGAATAAGTTCTCCTTTTATTGAATTAATTGATCTAAAAATAGACAACATTATACAATTTAATTTCACCATATCACCATGACAATGACAGTCATAATGACCCACATAATAAAACTTACTTGTTTGAGATAAGAAAATCAACAACCCATTTCTTTATGATATAGAGATGACCATCCAAGAGGTCACTCTTGATATTTACATATGGAAATCTACAACAAAGTGACTAAAATTAATCATTTATGTGAATAAACCATGTTTGAAATGCTGCAACATCTTGCCATGTCTTCTTATCACAGTACCTTACTGGTCATTGATTAATACTGTTATTAATCATCCCAAGACAACTCAATAGCTGGAGATGTAAGAATAACTAAAGTACCTTTTTAATAATGATTTGTGTAAAGTTAATATTTCATCCAGGTCATCTTCTGCATCAAAGATTAACAATCTGTTCTGTTGCCCATCCAAACCGATAATATCTCGTTGGGCTACAAATGTTGTTAATAATTTGACAATGTTATGTTCTATATGAATGATATTAGGTTTCCAAAGTGAAGTATTCCTGATATGATTGTTGAAACATCTCTAAATACTGTTTTTCTTTACACTCTGTCAGTGAAAAAGTTTTATTGCCCAATTTGAAATACTGGTTTAAATATTTGCCTTATGCCAGGCTATTTAGACAAATAAGGCTATGAATGACATAAAGAATGACTGCAGATTTTATAAAGGGTAATGCAATTTCATGGCATTTATGGAAGTCAAAGTTAAAGGCTCTGGTAGATAGTTTTTACATGAAATGGGTGTTCCTACTCACTTAATAGATTTTTCTTTGTTTTCTTTTTTGTATTTTCTTCTTTCTCCTCTTCATTTCTTTCATTTGAAGACAATAGTACAGTGATAGTTGCATCATATGTCCTATGAATATCTGCTAGTTGATGTAGCTTTACTTCTGCGATAATATCACAGCTCACGACAAGAATATCTCTCTAAATAATGCCAGGAATAAATGCTCTTTGAATCGTCTTTTGACTTTGTAGGATAGTACAAGTGTGAATATACTTTTTGCATGGAAATTAATAAAAATGTTAAGATGATATTTATATCACTCACTGATGTCCAGGCACCAGTTACATCTGATGCAGACAAAGTATAATATATATTCTTTAGCTATTTGTCATATAAGTACATCATTTCACCTCTATTTTTTCCTTGATATGTCTTAGTGAGTCAGCAGTGCCCATAGCGCTATTATCAGGAATTGGTATTATTTCAATTTTCATCTTTGCATCAAAACATTTTTCAATAGAGTTGCTGATTAAATCTCTCTCTGATTCCAACACAACAACTATGACTTCTGTAAGAAAATTGGCCTCATTTTATGCTTATAATAGAAACCAATTACATTTCTAACTTTTTTGCTGAATAATTATATCATTTATATTGAAATCTTAATAGTAAAAAACACGTGGACAAACATATGAACCATTTACATCAAATCTTGGTACCTTCAAATCCCGACGTTTGTAAAAGATTAAGTGGATACCAGATGAGTGGTAAATTACCAACAGGAAGAATAGATTTGGGAATGTTTTCAGTAAGTGGGTACATTCTCGAACCACGACCAGCTGCCATTACAATTGCTTGAAATTCGCACATTTTATGTACTGTTTGTATACCGACGTCGTCTACTACAGTCCTTTTCGTATGTACTGTTATAAATATGTATATTGTTTCCCCAGTTAACCAATGTACAACATTTTATTAACCGATAAAAAAGCTGATGAAATCACCGTCACTAATCAAGTACCACCGCCATATTTGATTGTGAGAAATACTTCATGTAATAACTAATTACTAGAGTGACTTGAAGTCTTGAACCAACATTGGATCCTGGGAGTGTTCCGTGTTCATGATTATATCCTTAGTTGCATTCATTTGAATCATTTCCATAGCTCAGTTATTTCTAAGTTATTTGGACGTTACAGAGTTTAGGGGTTATACCCACGGCAGTCTCTTTGATGGTATATTTTGGTATACAACAATTTTAGAATGTTGTTCATGAATTATCATTTATCACAGCACACATTTAGACATAATACAAATATACATACATAATACATACAGAATGCAATACAGAAATGCACAATGTGATTAGATTATTGGGTTGAAACGTCATAAACAGCAATTTCTGTGATGCTCAACAAAAACCTCTTTTCAGAACACATTTTATTTAGCAAATTTTCTTTGATATGAATTTGTAATCGCAAGCATTAGCTGCAAGCAATTTCTCACATTTCTATTATCACAAGAAATAGAAAGAAATGCCTCTATAAACCGCGCTAAGGCCGTCACGAACGTCTAAACCATCTCCAGCATTTAGTATAACTTGACGTATTTTTTTATTTGATGTGTTTTGACGCTCTTGAAAAAAAGAAGATAATAACGAGTCATGAAAACAAGCACATTAAAATAAATATTAATTAAATAAATCAACTATAATTCAAATTCATGCAAACGAAATGTTTGCATACGTCATCAATAAAAATATTACAATTATTTTCACGCAGACAAAACCATTGTTCACGCAAGTCAGTCACAATATTCTATACAAAATTATTTTAAAATTAGGGCTTTCTAGGAATATAAGATTACAATGCAAGTTATTTTGAAGTTTATGAGGTGGACAAAGACACCCCAACCCCCTCCTGGTCGCCAGGCCCCAACAGAGAAGGCTGAATGTCTTCGTACGAAAAATTAGAGTTGATTTCAGTATTTCTCTGAACAAACGCCTTTCCATTTTTTATGGATTTGACCTCCTGGGTAAGCTTTATACGGTTCTTGCTTATATTTCCTATTGTCAACCACCCAATACTCGGTGCCTTTAAAGAAATATGTTTCCTTGGACCAAGATGAATAATATGCCGCGTCAATATTGTCGGGAACACCTTGCCATACATCCGTGATTTTTTAGGATACCCTTGGAAAACGTTCAAATTCCAATCATTCATTTTCCAACAGGAATCTCCTTTGAAGAACCAAGTTATTTTGTCGTCTGTGTAGCACAGGCTTGCGTTTGGGCTGTTAGGTATTTTAGGCCAATCATAGGAAATAGCACTGTCATATTTCAAGTTTTTTGCAAACCTGTCATATCCATATGAGCGAGAACCTAAACATAACGAATGCAAAGAACAATCAATCGGTTTTTATATTTTAAGGAATAGAAGGCCTTTACCTTTTGATCAATAACATTGCTTTGATCAAAACCGATCAAGCTATGTTAACCTAAGTATGTATACCTTGCGTGATCAACCTGAAGTATTTACTCAAACAAGCTTTCTGCATTGCTCCACCGTTTATTAAAAAGATTAGTTCAGTATCGTTGCCAAGGAAGGATAGAGATGGGGGCCCGGACTCCCCTCATTTCCTTCAGATTATTTTATATCCTACAGTAATTATACGCTCGATGATAAAGTTTGATGGTGCACGCGCAATTTTAGGCTGCCTATAATCCTGATTGTCAACTACTAATTTTTAATGAAAAAATATCTCGCCAAAAAACACATTGAAGTTATATATACATTCCGAATGTACAAAAATAAAGTAATTTACCTTACTTACCTTTAAGAACGTAAAGAAAATGGTCAGACCATACAAGTGCAGCGTCAACATCATTTGGCATTGTGGCAATGAATTCATCTTTAATCTTTTTAGGATATCCTGTATCATAGCTATTTTGCATATCAAATTCGTCTATTTTCCAAATCAGATCTTTGCGTAAGAAATAAACGTCACCCCAAAGATATATAGCCGCATCAAGCTTCGTCTTACACGGACCTATTGTTATATAAAATATACTTACTACCGGTCGGACCCGTAGGTATACAGAATACATGATGAAAATAGTATTGCTTTTTGCTAGTGTTGGTGTCGACTCACCGTAGAGTGCATTTATCCCATCTCTGTCATCCCAATGAAGTCCAGGTTTCTTTTTATAAGTACCGTACATTATACTGGGTGGAATACTGGAATGAGCCAAACCAATGCTATGTCCAATCTCATGAAGAGCGACAGAAAATAAATCATAATCTTTATCCCATTTTTCACTTGCATCAAAATGGATATCACCAGCTATGTTATGGTTAACTGGAGGATATGCATGGGCTAACACACCTCCTGGGCCATCGAAATTGAACTTGTCACCATGAACAGCTGCGTTAAAAAAATTAGTGTGTTGAAGACATTGTGTTGATGACCACGTTGATTCGCAGCGCAGAATTAGGCACTGTCAGCATTTCCTAATGCAGGCATAGTTATCATTTTTGCCCAGTAACATGCATAACTGGCGCAAGCATTTGTCAAGAAGGCGTAGTTAATCATTTTTTGCCCAGTGGATCACATGAAAAGAAATCGGAACTTAATATCGCCCTCTTTTTACGTCACATAATTTATAATCTACTCGTGATAGTGGATATTTTTAATCAGTACTTACCAGGTGCAAACTCAATCCTTATATCAGGAACTTTGCTAGATGTTTTAGTGAATAGTAAAGGTGTTGAATACTCCCATAATTTAAATGCTTTTTCCAAAGTTTCATCTTGTATTTTATTTGTTAAATGTTTGTAATAGATCAAGATATTCCACGTTATTTTTTTTTTGCTCCACTTAAATTCTTTCATTTGACCGTTTGGGAGTTTATGTTTTATAGAATATCGTTTTCTGCGATGAACGTGAATTGTCATTCGAAACGCGTTGTTGGCGCCTTTGTCGGAAAATCCACATCTTGGAGACTCCATCACTTTCATTGTTTCTTCATTTAATTCACCTGAAATTTTTAAGCCAAACGAAATTTGGAAACTTTTAATTCCATTTGTGATCTCGTCATCAGTATAAGGATGGAAAACATCAAGTTTTGGTTTTGTCTCGTCTGCCATAAACTTTTTGTTTCTTTGAGAATGAATAAGACTTCTCGCGTCAGGTTTATCATCTAGATGACCGTATCGCCCAAGGTATTGCTACAGAAAAAGTTCAGGGATATAGTCACGCTGTTTATACCTCACAGTACGTTCGTGGCACAATTTTAGTGATCTAGAATATCATGAATTAGATATCATCGTAAATCACACTAGCCGTGGCATTAGCATGGAATAATGAACCCCTCTGGGTCACTTAAGTCGGAAACTTTTTATGTGAATGTAGCGTGCATGTCGCTCTTGTGTTCCGCCATCAAAGGCGTCGAGTGAATGGGCCCTGGGGCAATTTTTTAAAGTTTTGGTCCGGAACTTATTGGTATTTTAAGTTCCACTGTAGCTGTGCGACATATGCAGGCCACTTTGCAGGCCACTGGGTAGAAACTAAACGAAGACCATCGCAGAGGCTAAGAATTGAGTAAATAACGCAATATATAATTGCGCAGTTTCTCTATGAATTAGGAATTAGCTCTTACTTTAATTTTAAATTTTTCTTCAGTATATGTGCTGAACAAAGTACATGTGCCCGTGGGCTCCCTTTAGCCCCCGGCCCCCGGCCCCGGGGTAATCACCCCGCTTCCCACCCAATCGACGCTACTGTCATGGATGACTGTTCCGCCTTCTAGCGAGTTTATTTTTTGCCTAAAGAAACGAGCAACGCTGAGTGGCCCTTCTGGTCCTCTCAATATTCTATAGGATTAGTATCCATTAGTGTATCGCACACGACGTCTTGCGTGGAGTTCAAATCACTTACCATAGTAAAGTAAGAAAAAATATGATGAATATTTTAAGTGATTTCGGTCTTTTATTTCAGTTTAATATATAACTTATCGCCTCTTCGTTGAGGAGATAACACATTTCAAAAAATACATCTAGAATGTTTGATTTCGCAAGGCCAAAAGTGAAAATGATTTTTAAAAGAAAATTGTTCTTCTTCAACAGCAGCGGAGAAGTCTTAAAGATACGTGCGTTAAGCAATGTAAGTGACGTGACGTATTATGGATTGTGCCAGGCGAGGTAGAGACATTATATTTGCGTAATAATATTTGTTCAATATATTTTGACGCCGCTTTCTTTAGACGTACAGTTTTCATCATAAATCATGCAAGACCACCCAGATAAGGCATTACTTTCATTGCTGGTTGAAAACACAAAACTGACAGAAAACAAGTGAATTCAATATTATGAAAGTCCGATATCTCTCTTATTGTTTCATGAAATAAAAGCAATCCTTGTTATTGTATACTAAAATAAAAACATTCAGAGTGAGATCACGCCCTGGTGAGATTTAGAAATATCCCACGAACAGCCAACAGACTGGGATGATATCATTAATGGGAGAACTGGCCCACAGGGGTATTAGGGGAATTTTGTGCTTGCTACCCTAATTCATATGTTCTCTGGCGTACACACTTTGAAGGATTTAATGACGGAGATAAAATAACCATTCATGTAAAAACAGGAAATATTGCATAACCATACGCATGCACGTAGTAATGAATTGAGAAATTTTCCGCATAACCCTATAGCCCCATCATTCAGTGTTTTGGTAACGCAGTTTGCGACAGTGAAAGCAATGTTTTTGTTTTCTTTATATATTTTTAATCCAATAGTAGTATCTAATTTAAGAGCAAAAACATTTTACTCCCTTTCTGAGTGCCTATAGTAATTAATGTGCAGACATCAGGACTTACCACAACCTTGAGATGGTTCTTGTTATGTTTAGCGACATTGTCACGTGTCAAAGAGTGTATTGGTGAAGCAGTTACCAATGGTAACATTGTCAGAAAAATTGCCAGATACATTTGTATCCTTGTCATTTTGAAGTTCTT